AAGACCTTAGACATAAAGACAAGTGACTGGACTTAAATATCTCTCTCTGCTTGAGTTCAGATTATACCTCAAGTTGGGCATATAGTTTCCTAAGCATTCATGCGCTTCATCCTCCTGAAATAAGACCTGCTGTGATCCTACGTGCTTAAAGTGAATTTTCCAGGATAGCCATAGAGTAAAGCTAGAGATGTTTCTAACTCTGGGTACCAATCAGTACAGTCACTAGCAGCTCATTTCAAGAACTAATCTTATACAGATTCAGTTGTGGAGTGCTCAAAGTGTTTTGAGTTACATGTACAGTATGTTTAAAAAAGACAATAGAAACAGCAACAGCATTATTTTTGAGTGTGCCAGATTTGAACCAACAGATTAAGAGATCTCTATTTCCTATTTTTCTTTTGCACTTTGCAGAAATATCTTTCCGTGATTTTGTCTGAACATTATTTATTATAAAAATAAAATATATTATGTAAATGTGAGTTTAATGTCATTTGATATGACTTAAGATAAAATATTATAAAGAAGATTAATTCCAGGGCTTCCTATAAAGTACAGAATACATGTTTATTTTGGACAAAGAAAACCAAGTCTTTATTTGAAAAGATGTGATTAAATGCATAAGTTTAGATTATATTGTCATGCTAATTATCAGTGGTAGAAACCAATTAGGAGTAGTGCTACCAAATCACCAGACTACACTGCATATTCACTAGTATACCTTTACTGCTCTACTGGTTTTTTGCTGTAAGCAGATAAAAGTGAAAGTATTTCCTTTAAAAGTCCATATTGTACATTTTGAGCTAGATCTTGTTCATTGTGCTTTCATAAACTGTCCCACAGAAGTTACTAGAACTACTTGTGAGAGACAGACAGGCTCTGTCTATAAGAAATATATATGTCTACTTTAGCTAGCAATTAAAGCAAAAATACAAGATGCAAAAAAACTTCTTTTGATTCAGATGCCTATTGTTTGAATAAGTAAAGTTGGTAATCTGTCATTTGCAAAATACTGGAAGTGAGATTTTCATTGAACCTACTATGTGAATGACATATATTTCTCAACATTACACACCTCATTTATCATTCTGGAATGAGGACCAAGTACCATATGAATGTAGAGTTTGTGAAGGTATTGCCTCACAGCCCTGGAGGCAGATGACCCCTTTATCTACACAGCAGGTAAGGCACAAATAGTGGCAATGTGAGCTCTCTTTGCAGTCCCCTGCCAGTATGCCTGACTGCTAAGCTGGGGGAACAAAGGAAAGATAGCATATGGATAGCAGATTGTAGGAGCGCTGAAAGAGGACTGAGGAAATCTATGTTGGGTGTGTGGCTCTGCCAAAGATCTCTTGTATGACTTTGGCCTTGTCACTTAATCTCCTTCTGTCTCTGTTCCCCTCTGCAAACAGGGAGAAGGCGTCTCTCCTCTCCCCCAGGCTTTGCCTGGAAATCTGTTCAGACTCTGAGTTCTCTTGGACAGTGTGCTTGTGCAGCATGGGGTGGAGTAAGACTGAGCTTCATTGGATCCTTTAAGGGCTGCTATCATACGATTAATAGGAATTACTACTAACAGCAGGGTAACAAGAAATCCATGTCTTTTTGATAGATTTTACTCATCTTCTCAGGCCATTCAATCTTTGGCCTCTGGGTGAAGGGTATGAACAAGGTAAGCAATTAGTGTCAGGAGCAGAGCTGTGAATTCTTCTGTTATAGGCTTGAAAACAATGCTGAAAATAGTGGCATTGGTGTTCTCTTTTTTCACCTGTCTCTTAGTGCCTTTGGAAGACATTTGTGCCAAAATAACATCAGAGTGTTTCTGCAACACACAAACTCAAGTGCTGTGCAAAAGGCTGTATTTTGCTTTACTTTGGTCTTGGGTATTGCTCCCTGGGGGATTCAAAAAAAAACCTCAAAAAAATGTAAAGGCTAGGGTGGGAACTGTGGTTTCTACGTCTCTGTTATAGACTGTGCATATTTGTGGGGCAATATAAAGAATAAATAATAATGCACAAACATCGCATTCTGTGAGCTTGTCTACCAATTGTGCTGATGCATTACGTGATATAGCCACTGATAATGAAACTAGGATCTGATTTTTAGCTTCACCTAAAATGTATGTCTGTTTTGCACCTGCAATCTTGCAAATATAAATAATTTCATGTGTCATTTTTTGGACATACCCACTGGTAGATATAACTGATGCCGTTTATGGACAAGATTTTTCAGGGGAGCTATAGAAATGGAATTTCAAAATTACCTGAATGCTTAAAGCCTCTGTGCTCTTATATCTTTCTAACTGTACATCAGTGTATCTTCTCTCCCGACACAGGTGTTGCTGATCTAGAGAATATCACTTGCTCCTGCTGTTATGCAGATGTGCAAAAGAAAACTGGAGAAATAATGTAATCAAAAACCAAACCCAAGCACACAAAGATCAGGGGACTCACTATTAGAGCTTGAACTCCCATTTCCAAAACAACTAGTGAGTTGCCTCTGGGTAGAGTTTGCAGTGGAAGGCTGACTTTATTCACATCAGCAGGATAAAATAAGGCCAGGTTCTTCTGGGACTGAATGCCTGGGCAAGACTGGGTTTTCAACACTCATTCCAAAGGCTTACTCTGTGGTGACTGTTGAATATGTAAGGCTGGAGCCCAGTATCCAAATCTCCATGGTCAGAGGTAAAGGAGATGTCACCTGAAACCCTTCAGAAGGTAGAATTTTCTTAATGCTCTGTCTTGTGCAAGCTCATTGAAAGAACACTTCAGAGGGCACCCATTTCTTACTAATGTAAACTTTCTGAGGAGTATCCAAAGATATGACCTCTAGGTGAACCTTTAACCTTCCCCTTAATTATTTGTTTGAAGACAGTGTGGAGTTCTCCTGCTGAGAGCCAAGGCCCATAATGCTTCGCAGCCCTGGGAGCAGGGGGGTGTGTGCAGGGAAGTGGAGAGGGACATAAATAAGGGGACCACCAGATGTAAATAATAAAAGTGGTTGGGGTTTAAATAAAAAAAACGAAAAAGCAATTTGGTTTCCCTGAAGAGTGGCCTGATTGAAGAAAAGGGGTTAGTAAGATGGTAAGTGTGTGCGTGTGTGGGGGAGTGTTTCTGTGATTTTTTACAGGCCTAAATAAGTGTTCATTCCATTCTTTAAAACCTTGCCATCTGTATACACCATTAGAAGCTCATGGGAGAAGAGAAAACAGTCTTATCAGGCTTTCCTGTTAATCTCTATTGGCCTTAACTTTAGCTGATAAAAGGCATGCTGGATGGAGGAGGTTCAGGTCAGCCTCCATTTGGTCAGGGTGGCAACATTACTGGAAAGTAGCTCAGCAAATAAGTCCTATCATGGACCTTTTTCTTTGAGAACGGAAACATGCCTCGAAATCACAGCGCTGGGGCAGGAGATGCCTCAGTCAGAAGGGAATAAACAAGTACATTGGCTGTGTCTGAGTTTTTATTTTAATACCTGAAGTCATGACTAATTCTGAGCCAGGATGACATTTCTGACAACTGAATGAAACTTTTCTTAAAGAATAAAGAATGTCTTTTGGATGTAAACAGAGAGATGCAAAGGAGCCTTTTAGTGTTACTTGTAGCGTTTATGCTTCTGTCTAGTGAAATTTCCATGACTGTGATTACAGAAGGTGCAATCAAAGGTGTACCACTGTCCTTTATTATCTGCAGAGGAATTTAACCAGGGGGTGTGAGGGAGTGAGGGAGCACGACAAAAGGCCTTGCAGAGTTGATGCTCTATGAAGGCTAGCAATTTACTAAATGAGCAAATGAACTTAGTTTTCAGTTAACTGACTGAAAGACTTCGCTAGGCATTGGATCGGGCCCAATGGCAATTATTGGAGGCTGTTTTGGATGATGGGCATGTTAGTATTTCTGAAGAGGATTAAACACTAGTCTTCGACTTCATTAGCACTCCTTAAGGGTCACCAGCCGAAAGCCTGAGCTGTGAAAAAGCACACAAAACCTGCGCTACCGCTCCAAATTGTTTCAAACACAAAGAGGAGGGACAAAAACAAGTGTGGCTCCTGAGTGATAGAAAATTGCCCTGTTTTGAAAGATATTCCGTGAATGGGCATGTTTTAAAATTATTTTAGGGAAATTAATTTAGCTTAGCTTGTGCTGATGTGGGTTGCTGCACATTAAGCTAATAAGAAATATGCAAGCACTTATTTTTTGATTACCAGCAAAATTAAATCCAGGCTCCACAGCCAACTAACTGCCTTTACCAGTGCTCAAAAGCCTCAGCAACCACCCCAGTTTGAGATTAAAAAAGGTTATTTTGGGCCTAATATTAACCACATGTACCTGTGACTGGGAGTTTCTAACGAGTTGAAAGGTGCCTGAGTTTAGGGCAGGCGGGCGGTCGCCTTGCACGGAGTGTCCCCGCTCAGACACAGAGGTGGCCCCCAGCTGGCACTGACCTCCAAACGACCCTTGCCTTTACAGGCTCCAACTAGCAGGAGTTGCAGAAGAGCAGAAGTCTTTCTAGGCCGGCACTTATTGCTGCTGTGCTGGTGATAAAACTTCAGACAGTCTAATTGATGGCTTTGCTGACCTAACGATACCTTGTGAAAGCACAGAGTGGAAAAGCCTGGTCCTCATTTATGGCCAGCTGCAAGGGGAGCTGGATCCCTAAGATGGAAAGGGGAAAAGAAAGTCTCCCAGCCTGTGAACTTTAACCAGGATCTGAGCCACTTAGAAGAAGTTAAAGAAACAATTGTCTTTTAACACAAGTTTTCGGTCAAAGCCTTCTGGCAAATCCAGCTTTAAGCTGGCTAGTAAGATAAGCATGTTACCAGTTACAATTTCTGAGCACTTAGAGGAAAATCCTTTAAAGTGAAATTATACTGTTTTAAAAAAGCAACGCGAAGCAAAACACATTTCCACACCACACTAAAATCTTGTCAGTTTTAAAGCAGAGATGTTCTCAAAACACAGAAGCAAGCTGATGAAAGGACTTGTATTCTTTGTATTCTGTTGCAG